CAGTTATTATGAAGCTTTTGAATAGATCTAACTAATAAAAATTAAGTGACTGGGGGATGTCAACTTAATATCGTTAAGAAACAGTCTTATCAGTAGAATAAAGTGCATGGGCTTTGTGACAGCTACTTTGCTGTCCTTTTATATAGATTCTTGGCTGTTTTCTATATTTGTTTTGTTTTTGATTATCTATTTATTTGTTTTCTACTTTTCTTTCCTTCTAGGGTTTAGCAGTTGTCTCCACATGGCCCCTGTGCCCACAGTCCAGAACTAGGTTTTATAATGGAGATTTGGGAATCCTACTCTTTAGTGCTTTTGAAGATACAGAGGTCCAGCCATAGAAATAACTGGTGGCTTTTTTCAGTTCCCAGTCATGAGACTGTGCCTGTATCCTCTCACCTCCCTGATCCCTGTTAGGCTGTAGTCTTAGGCAACAGTAACTTTTTTTTTTTTTTTTTTTTTTGAGACAGAGTCTCGCTTGTGCCCAGGCTAGGGAGTGAGTGCCGTGGCGTCAGCTAGTCACATCAACCTCAACTCCTGGTCAAGCAATCCTGCTGCCTCAGCCTCCCAAGTGAGCTGGGACTACAGGCATGCGCCCACCATGCCCGGCTAATTTTCTATATATATTAGTTGGCCAATTAATTCTTTCTATTTATAGTAGAGAGGGGTCTCGCTCTTGCTCAGGCTGGTTCGAACTCCTGACTCGAGCAATCCGCCCGCCTCAGCCTCCCAGAGTGCTAGGATTACAGGCGTGAGCCACCGCGCCCGGCAACAGTAACTTTTTAAAAGCCTCCTTTTACAAGTAAGGGGACCCCACTCAGAACACTTATTCAGGCAGTGAGCCTGGCTCTGGCTGTTGCACCCCTAATTCATCACTCGTGAAAATTTGAAAGTCACCATTATGAGACAGGGACCAGACTGTTCCCAGTCATTGCCTGCTTCTGTCTCTGCAGGCCAACAGATGTTTTTTTTTTTTTTTTGAGACAGAGTCTCACTTTGTTGCCCAGGCTAGAGTGAGTGATGTGGCATCAGCCTGGCTCACAGCAACCTCAATCTCCGGGGCTCAGCGATCCTACTGCCTCAGCCTCCCAAGTAGCTGGGACTACAGGCATGCGCCACCATGCTGGCTAATTTTGTTATATATTTTTAGTGGTCAATTAATTTATTTCTATTTTTGGTAAGACGGGGTCTTGCTCAGGCCTGGTTTCGAATCCTGACCTTGGCAATCACCCGCCTCGGCGCCTCCCAAAGTGCTAAGGATAACGGGTGGGTTTACAGGCGTGAGCCACCGCGCCCGGCTGCCCAACAGATCTTTAATACACCCACTACTTTTCATTTCAGCTCTATTTCTGGTCCGTGGACACATTTATTTGATTATACATGTAGTCGTTCGCTCTTCTTGTGAGCAGGTATCTAATGAGTATATAATAAGTACTAAATATTTGGGTGGGAAGAGCATATTAGACATAGATTCTGTTCTAAAGACACTTAGAGTCTAGTAGGAGAGATAACAAGTATATTCAAAAATAGCTAGCATGTTTGCTGTATGTGAACCTTTAGGTATGTTAATTCATTTACTCCTCCTAATAGTACTCTGTGGTAGATGCTATTATACTTTCCCGTTATTTCTGTCTTACTTTAGGGGAGGCCAAGGTAATGTGACATAGCTTGTTTTAGAGTAATTAGGATGCAGGCTGGCTGTAGAGGGCTCAGGAAAGCCGAAGGAAATCAATCTGCTTTCTATGTTTGTGGCTTTTTATCTTTGTTTTCTTACCAAAACTCATTATCAGAAATATTTTACATCATGAGCGGCTGCATACATTTGTGTATATAGATTAATGAATGGAAACACATACATAGATTTATACAACTGAAAGTACTTGTGATAAACCCCATGCTTTCTATTCTATTTTTGTAAATAACAACAACAACAAAAAACTGGCTAGTGACTCATTATATGCTTTTGCAGCCCCTGTTTGAAAGACTAGTCCATATAATTAATATGTCCTAAGATCAGTTTTGGCACTAACTTACACAGTTTAGGTAACATAGGCTGAGAAGATAAAGGTTTATCTCTTATCAGTGTAATGCTTTCTTCACAACAGCTATTCTAGTCTCCGTTTCCTTCAAGTCTTCATGTTTTTTCCCTTTAATAGATAACCTCATAAATTATGAAAAGGAAGCCCCTGAGGCAGGCATAAAATTTGTTATTTCTTTTGCTTTCTATCCCTAGTATCTGTACTACACTTAATCTATTTTTCTTCCTGTGGGAAAAGAAAGGATGTTCTTTCTTTTGCATGGTTAGACCCACTTCTACCTTTATTTTCTTTCCACTTCTGTTTGATTTCTTGGTTATTCTATTTCTGGTGTCTTTAGTCTTTCTGCTAACATTTTCCCATTTCCTTATAAACAAATTAGGGTTTCCCCCCTCTTTTAAAGCCCTTCATTTGTACTATTTCCCCATCTAGTTACCATTTTTTTAACTGTTAAACTTCTTGTACAAATTGTCCTGTTTGTTATATAGTATGCTTGTACTTTACCACTCCATTCTTTAATCCTTTGAAATCTTTTCCCTGTTGCTTTTACCAAATATCAAGATCAGTGACTTTTTTTTTTTTTTACTTTTTTTTTTTTTGAGACAGAGTCTCGCTTTCTTGCCTAGGCTAGAGTGAGTGCCATGGCATCAGCCTAGCTCACAGCAACCTCAAACTCCTGGGCTCAAGCAATCCTCCTGCCTCAGCCTCCCGAGTAGCTGGGACTACAGGCACGAGCCACCATGCCCGGCTGATTTTTTATATTATATATATTAGTTGGCCAATTAGTTTCTTTCTATTTTTATGGTAGAGACGGGGTCTCGCTCAGGCTGGTTTTGAACTCCTGACCTTGAGCAATCCGCCCGCCACGGCCTCCCAGAGTGCTAGGATTACAGGCGTGAGCCACCGCGCCCGGCCTAGATCAGTGACTTTTTATACTCTGAATCCTGTGGCCTTTCGTAAGTATTCAGAAGTGTTTGTTAATAATGATCTTACTTCTCTTCTTTACTTAATCTTTGCGACCCCCCCCCCAAGCTTGCTTTTATGATCAGAAAAGGCAGTATAAGTCAATACTTGTTTATGGTTAACAATTCATGTACATTTTTTCAATGAATGAAAAACTATTTAATGAGCTGAGAATTCCACTTCTCATTGATGTGAAGCAACCACAATCATATGACCTTGCTCTGAGGTCTTGAATCAGATTTGCAAAGTGCTGTTGCAATAAAGAAATTAAGAGAGAGGTCAATGTGATAGAAGGACCTACTGGTTAGTTTAGATTGTTAAGCAAATAAAATTTTTCTGGAAGTAACATTTAAGCTGAATACTGAATTATGATCAGAAGACAAAGGGAGAAGAGTATTTCTACTAGAGGCAACATTTAATACCAAGGCTAGGCCGGGCGGTGGCTCACGCTTGTAATCCTAGCACTCTGGGAGGCCGAGGCGGCGGATTGCTCAAGGTCAGGAGTTCATAACCAGCCTTAGTGAGACCCCGTCTCTACTATAAAAAAATAGAAAGAAATTAATTGGCCAACTAACATATATATAAAAATTAGCCGGGCATGGTGGCACGTGCCTGTAGTCCCAGCTACTTGGGAGGCTGAGGCAGTAGGATTGCTTAAGCCTAGGAGTTTGAGGTTGCTGTGAGCTAGGCTGATGCCACGGCACTCACTCTAGCCTGGGCAACAAAGTGAGACTCTGTCTCAAAAAAAAAAAAAAAAAAAAAAAACCAAGGCTACAAGACAGGAATTTAGTCATTTTTGTCCCTTAAGACTGAGCTGACCTCTTTAGTTTTAGTGAATGTATACAACTCATTGTATTGTTCTTTTGACAAATCTTCAAGAACAGTTCCTAATTAAATGGCAGTGATCTTTAACTGCACTAATATAGCAGTCACTAGCCACATGTGGCTGTTAAAATTAGATAAATTAAAAAGATTCAGTTCCTCAGTTGTACTAGCCATATTTCCAGTGGGTAGTAGCTACATTATTGGACATACAGCACAAATATAGAACACCTTCAATGTTGCGGAATGTTCTCTTGGGCAGTGGTGCTCTGGAAAGTGAGTAGAATATATACTCCTTGAGATGTTGTTCACTGCTATACTCCTAGAGATTAACACAAGTGCCAAATAAATATTTGTTAAGTGATGAAATTAATAAATGGATGGTTTAATAGAAGCAGCATATCTACTCTCAGATATGGAGTGACAAAATGTACATAAGCTTTAAGATGAGGAAGTGCTTGGTATGTTTGAGGAACTGGAAGAAGACTGGCTAGAACAGAGAGAAGAATTATAGTTTGAGAATAACCTAGTGAAAGTAGTGACTTGAACCCTGTAGGTGTTATTAAATCTTCTGAACTTTGTTGAAAGTACATTGGGGGCCGGGCGCTGTGGCTTATACCTGTAATCCTAGCACTCTGGGAGGCTGAGGTGGGAGGATCACTCAAGGTCAGGAGTTTGAAACTAGCCTGAGCAAGATCGAGACCTCTGTCTCTACTAAAAATAGAAAGAAATTAATTGGCCAACTAAAAATATATAGAAAAAACTGGGCATGATGGTGTGTGCCTGTAATCCCAGCTACTTGGGAGGCTGAGGCAGGATGATCACTTGAGCCCAGGAGTTTGAAGTTGCTATAAGCTAGGCTGACACCACAGCACTCCAGCCAGGGCAACGGAGTGAGGCTCAGTCTCAAAGTGATGGGAAAGTTTGTGGAACAGCCAGTAATGTGATCTGAACTGGATGCCTTTTTAGCAAATGTTTTCTTTCCTTTTACTAGTTGTCTTGAGAGTTTAATAACTAGTGAGTGCTAGTAACTGCCTACAGGGAATCCAGATTATTTATTTACTTCGTTTTTGGTGTTAGTAGTGCTAGCATCACTGTTTTGTACATTTTTTTTTTACTGATTGTTTACTTATAAGCAGGAACTTATAGGCAAGAACTTGTTTTTGTTTTTGTTTTTTCCAGTGAAGGTGGTGTTTTTAAGGCTCATCTCACTTTCCCAAAAGATTATCCCCTCCGGCCTCCTAAAATGAAATTCATTACAGAAATCTGGCACCCAAATGGTAAGTTTATCTAATTTTACTTTTACATTTGCCAATATGGTGGCCTGTCACTGAAGTTTTCAAGGTTAATAAGAAAGATATAATTCTTAATGAAATTATTCTGTAATTTTTGTACTAGATTCATAGTGTTCATTGTGCACATGGCCTTGTACTAAATTCTTTGAAAGAGGAGTAACATATCATATGGAAAGTTATTTTTTTAAATTAGTTTTCAGGTCTTTTTGAGACAGTGTTCCAAACTGGAGGCAAGATTAATTACTGAGTGAACAGTCAGCTTTAACAGAGCTCTTATGATTAAAGTGATAACTTTCACAGTTAATTAGGTGACTTATTGGCTATTAGAAAGAGCATAGAAAATTTTAAACCTGGACGTTTTGTTTATATTTTCTCATCTTTTATACCATGGGTTACTCTTTACTTTTATATATATTCTTAACTGTAAAAAAGGAATGTCCCACCTACTTTTTGAGGTGATAGGATCAAATGAAATAACACATAGTCAAAATAATTAGAAAAATGTATTAATGGTGTGTGTGGAAATGTAAATATACTGTATATTTTAAGCTTGGAAAGCATCTAATACTATTATACATGAAGTAATGATATTAACTTTTTTTACCCAAAGAATAGCTACCATTTAAAATCTACCTTTATGAACCAAAGGTCAGGCTACCTAAGGTCTGTTCATATGTAGTGTCTTTGAGCTTTTGGCTTTGTTATGTATGATACAGCTTGCAACCATTTCTGTTCTAATTATTTTGACTATGTGTAATCAGAGTTGTCTTTTTAGGCTACTATACTCATTTACTTCTGCTTATCATTGTCAAGACTCTTTTAGTTGTAAGGAATAGAAATATATATAAGTTTAAGCAAAAGTCAGTGAGAGAGGAATGAATGAATAAATATCAGAAGGATATGGAGTTTATAGTAGAACCCAAGGCTTGAAAAACAGATGGATATTATGAGAGACTGGAACTAGAAGATGGAAAACTATGGGGAACCAAGGGAGCTACCAAATTTCATTGCATCTAAGGAGTGATCATAAAAATACATAGTTATTTTTTATACCAGTAAGAAGAGGAAAATAACAATTGTGGTAGAATGCATTGATGGGAGTCATGATCTGTGGATACATGAATTTGTGACATCTGCCTCTTGTTACTTTGACATTTCTTTCATCTCTTTCTATGCTTTTGGCAGTTTCTCCTGCCTTCATTTGAATTACTTGGTGTATGAGAGGCAGTCTTTTTGCACCTATTTTGAAAGGAGATATAACAAAGCTTCCGAATGTTGGCTTTACCACAAATTAGCTGTGTGATTCTAGGCAAAGCCTCTTTGAGCCTTAGTTTTTCTGTGAAAATTAAATGAGAGCAAGCATATATGTTAGCGAACACACGGGACTTGTCTCTGATAAAAAGAAGGATAACAATTGACTAGGTAGTTTAAGAGGACACCCGATGAAGTGCGTTAATTAAAAAAAAGTTTGAAAAGGTTGAAGAGGCTTTTCATTTTGTAGGTCATAAGGAAGAGGCATTGTAGAAGGAAATGATCAAGATTAATTTGTGAGAGAGGCTACGTGTTCAGGAAGGGATACCTGAGGAGGTGATGGGGCAGGGATGGAATTTTTTCTAGAGATCTAGTCTAGCTAATAGGGAGGCTGAGGTAGGAAGATCCCTTGAGCCCAAGAGTTGGAGCCTGCAGTGAGCTATGATTGTATTACTGTACTCCAGCCTGGGCGACAGAGCAAGACCCTGTCTTGGGGGTGGGGGGAATTATTGAATTAAAACCATAATGAGATACTAGTTTATACACTCTAGGATGACTGTAATGAAAAAGACAGATAATAACAATGATGAGGAAGTTGGAGACATTAGAACCCTCACACACTCCTGGCAAGAATGTAAAGTGGTACAGATGTTTGGAAAGCAGTCTAGCAGTTTCTGAAAACGTTAAACAAAGTTACCACTCCTAGGTAAATAGCCAAGAACATTAGAAACATATGTCCACAAAATCATGTACATGAGTGTTCATAGCAGCATTATTCATAATAGTCAAAAAGCAGAAACAACCCAAATGTCTACTATTGATGAATGGAAAAACAAAATGTAGCATATTCATATAACAGAACATTAGGTAGCAGTAAAAAGAAATGAAGTACTGATACATGCTACAACATGGGCAAACCTTGTAAACATTGTGTTAAGTAAACAAAGCCACTCAGAAAAGATCTGCATAGTGTAAGATTCCATTTATATGAAATGTACAGAATAGACAAATCCCATAGAGACAGAAAGTAGATTAGTGGTTGGTTAGGGCTGGGGGTAAAGTTGAGGAGGGAAATGAAGAATGATTGCTAATGGCTATGGGTTTCTTTTTGGGGTGATGAAAATATTCTAAAACCAATTGTGATGGTTGCACAACTCTGTAAACATGCTAGATAGAAACCATTAAAGAGTACACTTCAAATAGGTGAATTGTATGGTATAGGTGAGTTATATCTCAATGGAGCTGTCACAAAGATTATTATAGGGTAAATATTAGTTTTGTGTGGTTTAGATATGTTCAATATCAGCTTGGTTTTTCTTGATATATACTTGCTACATCCAGTTAGATAATTTGATAAAACCAGTCAAAGGTTCAGTAGTCAGCTTAGGGTCTTGGAAATCACTGCATCAAGATGATAGGTACCAGCCGTGCACAATGTTTCATACCTGTAATCCTAGCATTCAGGGAAGCCCAGGCAGGAAGATCACTTGAGCTCAGGAGTTTGAGACCAGTCTGAGCACGAGCAAGACCCTGTCTCTACTAAAAATAGAAAGAAGTTAGCTGGGAAACTAAAATAGAAAAAACTGAAAAAAAAAAGTTAGTGGGGCATGGTGGCACACACCTGTAGTCCCAGCTACTCAGGAGGCTGAGGCAGAAGAATTGCTTGAGCCCAGGAGTTTGGGGTTGCTGTGAGCTATGATGACACCACTGCACGCTAGCCTGGGCAACAGAGTGAAACTCTCTCAAAAAAAATGATAGATAACATTGTGATATAATGAATTTGTTAATTTACCCAGGAAAAAGATGGTTATTGTTGGAGATTAGGATAATACAAAAGTTAGATTAAGGAGAAGGAAAATGAGAAAGACTGAAAGAACCGTACAAGAACCAGGGAAAAACAGAGTGTCACAGCACAGAGGGGAGGAAAATGTGTCCAGGAAGATGTTGTTAACAATATCTATTTTCCTGGCTTAGAAGGATTTACTTTAGATAGATATTAATAGAAGGACCTAGGAGAATATGTTATCCAGATCACTTTCTGGGAACAGTCATAGTGTCCTGATAGGGAGCAGAAGCCAGTTTCTAGTACAGTAAAGGAGTACCTAAGTAATGAGTAGAGAAGATGAGGGTAAATCAGCTTCTTATAGTTTTAGGTTAATGGCTTTAATAGACAGGAGATAGCTAGAAGGATATGCATTGTTCAGGTAGTTTAATAATCATAGCTATGATCTCTCATAGAAGAGATATGCTTTGTTTTTAGTAATTGATGCTGAGATGTTGGCTAGCTATTTATGGGGAAAATGATTTTATTTTGTTCATAACAAACAGCAAAGTAATTTAAAACTATAAAAGGAATAAGAAGTTACAGGTGATTTTAAAAAATAGTATTTACTATCACTTATTTGGAATATATATGTTAGGGACAAGAACTTTCTAGTTTCAAAAGTAATAAACATTGTTAGAATTAGAAAAGAAACTAAAGAAAAATAACAACTACATACTATATAGGATTCTTTTTTTTTTTTTTTTTTTTGTGATAGTCTCACGTTGTTGCCCAGGCTAGAGTGAGTGCCATGGCATCAGCCTAGCTCACAGCAACCTCAAACTCCTGGGCTCAAGCAATCCTGCCTCAGCCTGCCGAGTAGCTGGGACTACAGGCATGCGCCACCATCCCGGCTAATTTTTTGTATATATATTTTTTAGTTGGTCAATTAATTTATTTCTATTTTTGGTAGAGACGGGGTCTCGCTCAGGCTGGTTTCGAACTCCTGACCTCGAGCAATCCACCCGCCTCGGCCTCCCAGATAGCTAGGATTACAGGCGTGAGCCACCACGCCGGGCCCCATTTCTGGTATTTTGGATCATATTCTTTTTGCAAATGAAGAACAGATCCAATAATTACCATTTATTCATTCACATTGTATTTACTACCTGTAAATGCTAATCACCATCCATTTACATGCTAGATATATTAAAGTTTAACATAAATGAAAAAGAAAGGTTACATTTCTGTTGGATTTATCAGGTGAATCCTGAGTATTTGGTAAAATTCTATAGTCTTCCTAAAAAGTCAGTATATTTCATTTTGAAAATTAACTTCTGTATATATATAATGTTTTATACAGGTCCTGTGTGAATTGGGATCAAATTTTAAGAGACATTTTATGTATAAACAAATTAGCAATGTGTTAAACAAGACTCTTCTCTAATTTTGCAGTTGATAAAAATGGCGATGTGTGCATTTCTATTCTTCACGAGCCCGGGGAAGATAAATATGGTTATGAAAAGCCAGAGGAACGCTGGCTCCCTATCCACACTGTGGAAACTATCATGATTAGTGTCATTTCTATGCTGGCAGACCCTAATGGAGACTCACCTGCTAATGTTGATGCTGCGGTAAGATGGTCCCATGCACACATCTTCCCTCCCTCTCCCTGTCCCTCTTAATAAAACTCAACTTGAACTATATAGTATCTATACGTATGTGTGAGTATGTATATCTCTACTTATTTTTTGACAAACATTGTATTTATTGTGTGCATGTTGGTTTGAAATATGTATACATTGTGGAATGGTGAATTTCACCCTATTAAAATATGTTTCACTTCATACACCATTTTTTTTTGTGCTGAGAATACTTAACAATCTACTCTCAGCAGTTTCCAAGAATGCAATACATTGTCTTTAGCCTTATTCACCACATTGTATAATAGATATCCTTAACTTACTTCTCATTATTGTAGCAAAGTAATAATAGTTACAATAATTTGTTAAGTGAGACACAATATAAAAAGATATAAGTTCTGATACTAGAATTTAAAATGTGGGGTGGGAGGGGATGGAGTAAAAATGTAGTTTTTAAATGCAATGAAAGTTAAGTTGTTACCTTAAAATGTCCTGTTACAAGAAGTTATAAGCTTCATAGTAACCACAAAGCAAATACCTATAGTAATTACACAAAAGATAAAAATATTTACATGTATTTATTTTTCTCCTGAATCTTATGGAAGTTACAGACATAAGCTTTACCTTTAAATACTTGAGCCTGCATCTTATAAAAATAAGGACACTCACATATGACTATTACAATGTTGTCATGCCTCAGAAAATTTAATGTCAAGTCTCTATTAAAGTGCATATTATTATCCCCAAGTTTTAAATTTTTAAAACTTTCACTACTTTAGAAAAAGTTGTATTAGTTACATGACCACCACTATACCCTTCACTTAGATTGTGGAGATTTGGAACCCCCTTTTTTTTTTTTTTGGTCTCTTAATTGTTTGAGAGTAGTTTATAGATATTCTAAACTTTCACCCCAAAAAAAAAAAAGAAAAAAAAAATATATAAAGGACTGAAAAAAAAAAAAAAAAAAAAAAAAAAAAATAAAAAAAAAAAAAAAAAAAAAAAAAAAAAAAAAAAAAAAAAAAAAAAAAAAAAAAAAAAGAAAATAAACTTTCACCCCTAAATACTTCAGCATGTATCCCCTAGGAACAAGAGTATCCTTCCACATACACATAGTACAAGTCTGTCATTGATATAGTACTATTATTGATTATACATATATAGTCCATATCCACAATGGACTATTGTATTGTCCAAATATTGTTCTGTATAGCTGCTCTTCTCCCAACCCTTGCCTTTTAAAATTCTTTTAAAATCCAGAGTCCACTCTAGGAACTAGCATTGTATTTTTTTTTTTTTTTTTTTTTTGAGACAGAGTCTCTCTTTGTTGTCCAGGCTAGAGTGAGTGCCATGGCATCAGCCTAGCTCACAGCAACCTCAAACTCCTGGGCTCAAGCAATCCTACTGCCTCAGCCTCCCAAGTAGCTGGGCCTACAGGCATGTGCCACCATGCCCGGCTAATTTTTTTGTGTATATATATTTTTAGTTGATCAATTAATTTCTTTCTATTTTTAGTAGCGATGGGGTCTCGCTCAGACTGGTTTTGAACTCCTGACCTTGAGTAATCTGTCTGCCTCGGCCTCCCAGAGTGCTAGGATTACAGGCGTGAGCCACAGCGCCCGGCCTTAGCATTGTATTTTGTATTTAAGTTTTACTGGTTTCATTTAATCTAGAATAGTTCCTAGTTACTTAGCCTTCTCTCTTCCTTTGAAAGCCTTTTGTTCTAATTCTTTTTACTGGAACCTTTGTGAATAGTATATATCAAAGTGAGGAGAAAACATTTTCTTTTTTTCTTAGGTTCATAAAAACTTGTGTGAAATCTCACATATAGATAACCCCTTTTGGAACCTGGAACCTGTGGCTTTGAATTTTTGAATTTAGTAATAGAATTAAACTAAAAACTGGTAGAAAACCATTTTGACTTTCTATTTGATCAAATATCAGTCTAGGTGATATGAGAGATGCTAATGGAGAAGGGGCGATAGCTGCATTTAGAAAATACATCATTTTGGGATCATTTTGAGAGAGAACTAATTAATGTTTCATTTGGTTCATGCTCAGCTATCAGCTCTTTTAATATTAGAATTGACAAGTTGCCTTTTAATATTAAAGAAGGGTAAATTCATAGCCTATAACTGAGACCATGAAGATGTAAAAATTATTAACCTTCAAAACAACTGAGTCCTGAAACAGCTGAATCTACTGTAAAAGCAAAGCCATTCTCTTGATGCTACACATTTTCCTAAAGGTAGGAATTGGCCTAAATATAAAGTTCAAATATGTAAACACGAATTCTAGTCTGACACCATAAATTAATGAAGATCATAATTCTTAATGAGCTTATTGCTGTAATCTTTTGTACAGCTTCATAGTGTTCATTGTGCACATGGCCTTGTACTCACAATTCTTTTGAAAGCAGGAGTAACATAATCATCATGGAAAGTTTTATTTTTTTAATTAGTTTTCAGGTCTTTTTTCTGAGACAGTGGGTTCCAAAACTGGAGGCAAGATTATATACTGAGTGAACAGTCAGCCTTTAACAGAGCTCTTACTGCTTAAAGTGGATAACTTTCCAGCAGTTAATTAGGTGAGCTTATGTGGCTTTAGACAGCGCCTAGAAAATTTTAACCTGGACGTTTTTGTCTTATAATTTTCTCATCTACTTATACGATGGGTTTCTCTTTAGCTTTTTATACTATGATCTTCAACTGTAAAAAAGGAATGTTCCCACCCGCTCTACTTTTTGAGGTGTATAGGGATTCAAATGAAATAACACCATAGTCAACAATACATTAGGAAAATGTATTAATGGGTGTCGTGTGGAATGTACATATACCTCGTCATATTTTAGCTTGGAAAGCATCTACATACTATTATACATGAAGTAATGCTATTACACTTTTTTCACCAAAGAATAAGCTACCACTCCCCTCTAAATCTACCTTTATTGAACCAAAGGCCGTCAGGCTCACCTACACCAGGATCTGCTTCTATGTACGTTGGTCTTGCGAGCTTTTGGCTTTGTTATGTATGATACAGCCTTGCAACCATTTCTGTTCCTAATTATTTTGACTATGGTGTAATCAGAGTTGTCTTTTTAGGCTACTATACCATTTAGCTTCTGCTTATCATCGTGTCAACGGACTCTTTTAGTTGTAAGGATAGAAATATATATAAGTTTACAGGCAAAAGTCAGTGAGAGACCGGACTGCACTGACCTACAACCTACCCCCTCAGAAGGCATCTGGAGTTTACAGTCAAGCCCCCAAGCGCTTGAACACAACAGACATGGATATTTCGCGCCCAGCCTCGGAACTACGCAGATGGAAAGCACTATGGGGACCAAGGGAGCCTACCCAACATCTCCTTGCTCCTCACCGCCGGTGTCATCAAAATCCACCCAGTCTCACACATATTTTCTACTACCATAGCAAGACGGCACCATACAATATGTCGGTACGACATCCCATTGATGGGCCGACGTCCCTCGACTCCTGCTGGACCTCATGAATCTCTGCCTGACATCTGCCTCTTGTTACTTTGACATTTCTTTCATCCTCTTTCTATGCTTTTGGCAGTTTCTCTGCTTCATTTGAAATTACTCTGGTGTATATGAGAGGCAGTCTTTTTGCACCTATTTTTCGAAAGGGATATACCAAAGGCTTCCGAATGTTGGCTTTACCACAGAATTACGCTGTGTGATTCAAGGAGCAAATCTCTTTGAGCTTTAGTTTTATTCTGTGAAAGAGCTTAAATGAGAGCAAGCATATATGTTTAGGCGAACACGGGACTGTCTCTGCTAAAGAGGATAACAATGCTAGTAGTTTAAGAGGACACCGATGAGTTGCGTTAATTAAAAAAAAAGTTTGAAAAGGTTTGCAAGAGGCTTTTCATTTGTAGTCATAAGGAAGAGCATTGTAAAGGAACTATCAATTACAGTTTGTGAGAGAGGCTACGTGTTCAGGAAGGGATAGCCTGAGAGGTTAGATGGGGCAGGGATGGATTTTTCTAGAATCTAGTCTAGCTAATAGGCAGGGTCTGAGGTGAGAAGATCCTTGACCCAAAGAGTTGGAGCTGCAGTGATCTATGATTGTATTACTGTACTCAGCCTGGGCGACAGAGCAAGACCTGTCTTGGGGTGGGGGAATTATGGAATTAAAACATAATGAATTACTAGTTGATACACCTAGGATGACTGTAAGAAAAAAGACGATAATACAACAAGATGAGGAAGTTGGAGACATAGAACTCTCACACATCCTGGCAGAATGTAAAGTGGTACAGATGTTGGAAGCAGTCTAGCATTTCTGAAAACGTTAAACAAATCCACCTACCCTAGTAAGAGAGCCAGAGACATTAGAACTATTGTCCGACAACATGTACATGAGTGTTCATAGCAGCTTATTCATAATCAGTCCAAAAGCAAACAACCCAAATGTCTACTATTGCCTATGGGAAAAACAAAATTAGGCATATTCATATAACACATTGAGGTAGCAGTAAAGTAAATGAATACGATACAGCTACAACCATGGGCCAACTGTAAAAATTGTGTTAAAGTAACAAAGCCACTCAGAAAAGATCTGCATAGTGTAAGAGTCCTTTATATGCAAATCGTACAAATACGGACCAATCCCAATAGGACGAAAGTAGCATTAGTGGTTGGTTAGGGCTGGGGGTAAAGTTGAGGAGGGCAATGAAAATGATTCTAATGGCCTATGAGTTTCTTTTTGGGGTGATGAAAATATTCTAAACCAATTGTGAGTGGTTGCACACTCTGTAAAACATCTAATTAGAAACCATTAAAGAGTACACTTCAAATAGGTGAATTTAGTATACGTTAGTTATATCTGCATGGAGCTGTCAAAATTATTCATAGGTAAATAATTAGTTTTGTGGTTTAGATATGTCAAATATATCAGCTTGGTTTTCTTGATATATACTTGCTACACTCCAGTACGATAGATTTGATAAACTCAGTCAACGTTCAGTAG